ACTATCACCGAATACAGAGTGAGGATGAACACTCACAGGATGAATGATGCATTCATACAAACAGATTTTACACAAGTTCTGCCACAGGTGTTTAAACCTCTCACACAAACACGAGCTAACTAAACACACTCAGATATGATATGAGGCCTAGCTGCAGACAGGCGCCTCGGACACCAGGTGGAGAGGTGCCACGTTGTTTTACACTGCCGCAACCAGGAGCTGACACCTCCACACGGGGGGGGGGGACCTCACTCCTCCACCTCATCAGCCTCCTGACCTCTCTGAGTGTAGCTGTTCAGGCTGTGTGAGATGAGCGTTTTTACCTGTCAGAGCGGGAGCGTGGACACTTCGTGGTTTTACTCCTCTCTGTTCACGTTCTTTTAGAGTTTGATAAATTCCACGTTTGAAGTGAACACAACATTATGAACTGGTTTCCGTTGGAGAGCTGATGGTCACTCGCCCACGCTCTGTGGCTGACCGCAGAAGAACGTTCTCCGCAGGTCTTTTAGAAACAAAATATATTTGGTGTTTCCTCATGACGGCCCCGAGCAGGTATGAATAAATCTTAAGTTAACAGAGGTGAACTATAAAGTCTTCTATTCTGTTACATCAGTACACCCCTCGATGCTGCTCGCCATGTTAGCTAGGAAGACAATACTTAAAGAATGAATACTTCATTGCTGACTTATTACCTTCATTAAATTATTAATATAAACTTTATTTATTGCCAGGGAACAATGGGAATATGTGGAATAATTAGAGTAACTCTAAAGGTCGTCCGGTTCACTCTCATGCTTACCTGTACGATTTAGAAACAGGTGTTACAAAGTGAATGATGCTACTGCGTTCTCTTACACATCACTATAAGTGACAGACAGACAAGTTTAAACACAGCTTCACGCTGTTTAGAGAAAACTTAAAGGTGGAGTCAGAAGCATTTTCCAGTTTGTAAAACTTCAAACTAAGCCACTCCTCCTCCTCCTCCTGGGCTCACTGCAGGATGTAGTGTGTACGTTTACTGCTTGTTGCTACACTGCAAGCTAACACATGCTAGCACAAGCTAACCTCCGGTGTTTGTCACCTGCCTGTCCAACAGGAAGTAGACCAACTCCACGTTCACGAGTAAAAGACAACACAAGGTTCACCCTCGTTTTAGAACGAGCTTTATCCACTTGGTGTTTCTCCTCACTCTGATTATATTTTTTATCCACTCCTAAACTCACCTGCTGCGCTCTCATTGGCTGGAAGAAAAACACCAGCTCCGCCCAGAAACGTGCCGAGTCAACCAGAACAAAGCAGATCAGTAAAATCCAGTCAGAGGACAGAGTCTCTGCAGACACAGTCTTATTTTGAAGGAACAAGCTGCTGACTCTGTCTTTACTTTAGGAGAAGTCTGTCTTTTATTTTGAAGGAACAAGCTGCTGACTCTGTCTACTTTAGGAGAAGTCTGTCTTTTATTTTGAAGGAACAAGCTGCTGACTCTGTCTTTACTTTAGGAGAAGTCTGTCTTTTATTTTGAAGGAACAAGCTGCTGACTCTGTCTTTACTTTAGGAGAAGTCTGTCTTTTATTTTGAAGGAACAAGCTGCTGACTCTGTCTTTACTTTAGGAGAAGTCTGTCTTTTATTTTGAAGGAACAAGCTGCTGACTCCACCTTTAAGAAGCTGGAAGTTGTATTTTAATCCAGATGAACAGGATCCAGTGTAAACAATGAAACGTGATAATAGTCAAATGCTAAACTTTAGGTCGTCCATCTCGTCCCACCACAGTCCACGCTGCTGTGAAACCCGGCTAGGAACAGAAACAGTAGACGGTGTGACAGCCGCACTGCCAGTGAGGCCGCGTCACACTGTTTTTAAAAACAGCACAGCATGCTCGATGTTCCTCCTGGGAGGGGTTTGAAAGATGCCCCCCCCCAGCCCCCGTCCTGTCACCCCACCTGATCCCACAGACCTCCACCTCCCGCCCCCCCCCCAACAGGCCTTTCTGCTCACTAATGATTTGTGAATGTGTGTGTCTGTCGTTGTTTACTAAATGTGTCCGTGTGTGTACGAGGTCGTACTGTGACTTCCTGTTTTCATTTGAGATTTCTCTGTATTTAACAGACTTTCTATGTTTTTAACATGTTTGTTTTTATATGATTTAATTTATTTATATTTATTTGAGGATATGTCCTTAATGCCTTCTTGAGAAATTGTATTGTAGGCTCCCGTGTGTGTTTTTGTTACGACACGAGTGTGTGTCCTGTATGTGTATGGACGTGCAATCGACTGCAGGTTTCCAAATGTTCGGGCATATGTCAAACTCGTTGTATCCGTCTTATTCTGATGACTGTGGGTGCTCCATAGAGAGACACACACACACACACACACACACACACACACACACACACACACACACACACACACACACACACACGGACCAGCCTAGAAACCACTGACGCCCCCCCCCCCCTAAAGGTCCAGATGATGTCCGTTTTTGTCGACATAAACCTTTGACTTTGTGTGTTTGTGTGCAGCTCGCTCTCTCTGACACACACACTCCTCATAGATCACGTGTACATTGACTCTGTACAGACTGTAAAAAGAAGAATTTAGGGAATCAGGCGAGGAAAAATCGCCATGTGTACCAGTGAGAACCCGTCATGTTACAGGGAGACGACTTAATGTTTCTTTTTCTTTCATGTCTCGTTCAAGTGTAAAATCTTCTCGCATCGATAGAAGTCTAAAAGTTTAACAAGTTTAATACCTGAAACACATCTTTGAACAGTCTTTAGACTATTCCATCATTATCAACTCCAGGAAGTGTTTCAGTCACTGTAGGTCTAATTCATACCCCAGGGAGAATTTAGTGCGCAGCGGACAGCGCTTCATCGGGTCTATGATGGACGGCAGGAGTCAGCTATCAGCCGGCTCAATCACCGTCTCTCACTGAACAGGCTGCCACAGTTCAGAGCAGTGAGAGAGCGCCCCCTCAAGGGGAGTGGTTACAATGACATCCTGAGATCATCCCACCCTTCCTTCATAATCAAACATTTCACTGATGGTCAGACGCTGGCTGACTTTGACAGACGACAGGTTTTTAGGCTCCAAACAGGAAGTGTGTCAAAACATGTGAGGGTTGCTTCTTACTTTCTTCTGTCACGATTGGAGCCTCAGATAAACTCTTTGCTAACCTTAGGTGACCCAGGTCAGTAGGGGGCCCCCTAACGGCTGACAAACTTTGAAACCCGAGCATTGCCTCAAATTGTGCTCATTTAGCAACGACAGGAAATCTGCCTAAGGGGGCCCCATCTGACATCACTCACTCTCAATACCCTGCTAAGCATCACAGCATTATTCAGGTGAAAAACAAAATGTGTCAATTAAGGAAAATGAAAAGGAGTTATCAATCTGAAAAAAAGTGAAAAAAGACAGAGGGAAAATTCATTGGAAGAGGCCCCACAATGAACCTTTGCCTGGGGCCCCAACAGACCCTAGAATGGCCCCTGAATGGAACTAACTGGAATCATGAGCATTTTAGGGTCTAATTCGCTCCCTGTCTTTTAACCCAGGTCATTAAATGTGACGTCCTGTGCCATGTGCCACTTTCAACACCAGGTGTGATTTAGATTTATACTTCCTGTTTTCCACTTTTCCTCATTAAGGAGAACTGGTGACACCTTTTACAGGACAGGCCCGTCATCGGGTGACTGACTTCTTTATGCGGTATGAATCCAGCCAAATATTTCTACGTCATCCTATCAAACCACTTAGTAGGAGATAGTCGGTCCAGGCTCTAATATAACGCGCCGGTGTGTATGAGTATGTGCTGTGTGTTTGTTAATATAAGCGACGGTTGTAGATAGACCCAGCCAATCAACCAGTTAGCATGCAGACGTCGGGTCTTCACTCTCTTCCACTTGAATTTACTAAAAGATGAAAAATATAGAAGGAAGCAAAGTGACTCTACAGAGCGTAAGTGTTACCGTATTTAGCTTTAAATGATCACTCTGAAAAAGAAGACGCGCTTTTTAATCCCTTTTTCTGGTTGTTTTTTCTACTCGGTTCCTACTAATGACGAGTTAGTAGTCAGTGTGTTCGATGATGTTCGTCTGATAAGAAAAAGACAACGAAGAGAAGGTGAGCGATGGCCGCTCTTCACCTTTACATTCAATTCTCCAGGTTTTTTCAGTTGTCTCTTAATGTCCACTGTCACTCACACTCTGTCTGAAGGAAGACTCTGGAGGTGTAACAGATGTTGGTTTAATAAAAGATTCAAATGTCAAACTAACACGGGCTGCTGTTTCACTTCAAAACAAGAGAACAAATTCAGCAACATATTTCATGTAACATACCGTAAAACTTCTAATAAACGCCCATCCCAATTCAAGGCCCCGCCCCTTTGACCTGCCTGGTGTAGCCACATGTTTTAACCAATAAAGGCAGCTCTTCGTTAGAGGTCGATGTGGATTGAATATACGGAGATAAAGCAGCAAGACTCAAAGAATACCTCAACATCAAGACAGAATGAAGCTAGTGCAGCGTACGGTCTTAAAAAGCAACACCAAATTCTTGATTTGTAACTTAAAGGTCACAAGTCCTCTTCACCATGTTCCTCTAACTCTAATATGTGTCTCTAGTCTGTCTTCAAACCCCCCAATGATGAGAAAAGTGCATCCTCTCCGTCTTTTGCCTGCTCCACTTTTCAGAAAATGTGTGCTCAAACAGGCCGTTTGGAGATTTTCCCTTCATGACATCACAAAGGGCAGTAACCCCTCCCCCAGGTGGGTGACACTCCCACAGCTAGGTGTTTGTTCTGCCCTCTGAGTCTGCCTTCTCAACATAAACAATAGGACATGGAGCGAGAAAGACCGAGTACACCCAAGCCCTTCCAGAGAGGGGGCGTGGTCAGACACAGCTCATTTACATATTTAAAGGTACAGACACAGAAACAGCCTGTTCTGAGCAGGGCTGAAATAGAGGGGTTTATAGGCATGATCAAATACAGGATCAGAGTGGATTTAGAACAAGAAACTTCACACACATGTTTTGAGGAGCTCTGAGACTTATTTACACTGAAGAAGAGGAAGAGGATATGTGACCATTAAGATGTTTAAGTAAAGGTCTGCCTCGAATTGACGCCTGTACCAAATAAAGGCCGGCTCATTTCATGGACTAAAGTAGATAAAAGCCTGGGCTCATTGATAGAAGTTTTACGGCATAAAAATCAAATGACGTGTGAAAAGTAAATAACCAAACTAGCCGTACAGATTCATCCACTTCTCTGATGTCACTATGGATACAATAAGCACAGAACACTTCCTTTGTGCACACATTGTAGGTATGTATGGTAAGGAACGAAAAATGCAGGTCCAGAAAATGTTAAACCATCCAAACTGACATCTCACTGATCACAGTCCTTTTTCTATCAGAGAGAAAATATAAAAAAAGCTTCATTTCAGTCCAACAGGGAGAGAGCCGCCCCGTTCACATGTTGCTGATGTGGTCGGCCATCGTGTGGGTGGATACCCATCCTTCAACAAGTACAACACCAAATGGTCGGAGTCTCTTCAGTGCAGTGTCCCACGTGTCGGGGTCCCGGTCTCCTGGGTTTTTCCTGAGGTCAAGGGTCAGTCGGTGTGGGGGGCGATGAGTCCTCAGTGTGTCTGCAAACTCCAGCAGCTCAGCAGGCTGGATGAAGTTGGAGCTGCTCAGGACAGAAGACAAAGTCAACAAAAACTTAAAACAAGAGTTGGCTTAATAAAGTCAGCGCTTTTCCACCACACGGCCTGATTCAGTTTGGTTCAGTACAGTTCACATTACTGATATTTCCACTCTCAAAAATTTGGAATGGAACCAAAATAAACTATCTGTACCGTCCTACTTTTTTGCTTCCCTTCTGTTTGGTTGCCAAGCGTACCGATCTGACCCTAAAGGGCGGAGATAGACACCCTACAGTCTGTTGATTGGTCGAAAGAATCATGACTTCCTGTGACAGCATAAAGGACAAACACTAAACACACCATGTTTAAATATCCTGTGGTATCAGTGGGGTTTTTTTTGACTAAAGGCCTTATTTTTAATGATCCCGATCACTTCCAGGTGTGTTTCAGGATGTCAGGCATCCAGTTTGATACGCTGCTCTCTATACTGGAAGCACACATTAAAAGGAACAACACCAATCTCTGCAGAGCTAATGATTCTGAACAGCAGCTGGCAGTATGTGGACGGTGGCGAGAAAATCGAACCTGTTCTGAAAAGAAATAATGACGTACAGAAGTTTCTGAGTCAGTGTGCAAACATTAAGACACAACATGAGATCGTATTTTTTTGTGCGCCATTTTCAGAAGAAAAGAAGAAAAGAAGGGACTCAGTGTGCAACGGCCTTTACGTCAGCGCATATGGATGACCTTGGAGGTGCTAACCTCTGCTGGACGTCCTCAATTGTTGTCCTTTGTTTACTTTGTTGCATTCTTCTTGGCAGGCTACACTGCTATGATGTCACACTGTTACGTAGCTGACGGTGCTATCACTATACAACTAACAACGCAACTTACCAAGTAAGGGATTGGTTGGTTGTGAAAGCACAAGCAAGATCAGGGTTTACCGTACCAAACAGAACCAAACAGAACCAGACAGAACCAGACAGTGGGATCGAGACTTCATTCCCCCATTACTGACACACTGACGTTGAAGCAGTCATGAAACGTCATGAGGTGGAGTTTAGATTCTTGTCTGTTTGATACTTCAATAAAATAAATGTCACATGTAAAAAAACTAATACTTCAACTTTATCTTTTCTTAGAGTCCCCCCCCCCCTGCTTCTATCTAAGAAAAGATAGAAGGACCCCAGGAGGGGAATCACTGCAGTATTGTAATGGACAGCTTTTAAAATGTAGTGTTGACCTTATTCAAGTTGAGTAACACGTGATAGAAAACACAAACATCTGTAGCTTTAGCGACATGAAGAGTTCTTCATACTTCAGAGGTGAGAACGTTCACATCAGACTATTCAGCTAACAACACGTGCACTGATAACTTCAGAGCAGCAGAGTGGTCCTGCAGCTCCTACCTGATGTTCAGTCTGTTCACTAAGCTCGCTGAAGATCCTGAGAACAGCTCCGACAGGATGCACACGTTCCTGGCTGTAGACACACAAACTTACATTTATTTACAGATAAACAGAAGTGATATGATTTATCTTTCTCCAGAGATCTGACTTGAAAAACACACACACTCAGCTCGTCATATTTATGTAAATGTGTTTGAACTTGTGTCGTGCTTTTCTAGTCTTCTAACAACTCAAAGCTCTTTTCAGATCCTCCTAAGCTCAGCAGTCATCACGTCTTTGACCGTTCATATTGATTCTGTGACAGCGTAATGTTGGTGTCCTAGTCAGTGAATTAACATTGTTTTTCTGCGTTGTAGAAGCACGGCACAGTGGGAGCTCCACATACACAGTCAGACTCAGACACACACACACACACACACACACACACACACACACACACAGAGCGCTGTGCTCCCCCTGCTGACTCAGCTGATTCTGACGACTTAAAGCTCGACTTAAACTGCATGTCATATTCACACATTCACACAGAGAGAGTCCATCAGTATGAACTCATCCATTCACACGCTGATGATGAAGGAGCGGGAGCGGGAGCGGGGGTTAAGTGTCTTGCCCAAGGATACATCGGACATGTAGCTGCAGGAGCTGGGGATCAAACCCTCGACCTTCCAGTTGGGAGATGACGACTCTACCAACTGAGTTAACAAGCTCATCTGAGACTGGTGATCTTTTCAGTGAGAGTTTGTGACTACAAATGATTTAATGTGGTTTATAATCATTTCATTCTATCAAGTTTCAATATATTCAACTCTGAACGCTTTTCACGTCAGGCGTCTTCTGATGTCTCCCTCCAACATCAGACTTTAACATCGGAGATTCTTCTGATATCTACAGAGTCCAACACAAGTCACAAACTGTCTTTTTTCTTTGACATGTTTCTCAACACTGGCACATTTAGCTAACGATCAATCTTGTGCCAAATCATGACAAGTTTTGTCAGGACACTTCCCTTTTAAAAGTCGACGATGTGTCCTTGGGAACGATACTTAACCCCAAGATGCTGCTGACACACACCGACCAGAAATACACGCACATGCACAAACAGGACCTGAGGACATGCATTCATGGAGAGATGTCAGAGTAAGGGGGCTGCTACAGACTGAACTACTGCCGCCTCAACATTCACATATTGATGGACTCTTTACACAGCAGCCTCTACCATCAGTGTATGAATGGATGAGTTAATACTGATGGACTCTTTACTCAGCAGCCTCTACCATCAGTGTATGAATGGATGAGTTAATACTGATGGACTCTTTACACAGCAGCCTCTACCATCAGTGTATGAATGGATGAGTTAATACTGATGGACTCTTTACTCAGCAGCCTCTACCATCAGTGTGTGAATGTGTATGAATGCATGAGTTAATACTGATGGACTCTTTACTCAGCAGCCTCTACCATCAGTGTGTGAATGTGTAGGTGTGACCTGTGGTGTTAAAGCGCTTTGAGTAGTCAGAAGACTAGAAAAGAACTAAACAAGTCCATTTCCTGCACAGGAGGCATGAACTGAATGTGACTGCTGTCTGTAGAAAGATGCTCACCTAGTCGATTCTGAGCCAGGCTGAGTGTGTGAAGAGAAGGCACTTTCTTTACAGCCGTCACCAATTGCCTCAAACTCTCCTCTTTGTCTCTCCACTTCTCAAGGAGGCGGCAGTCATTCAACCGCAGCTCTGAGAGGAGAAGACAAAAAAAACAAAGTTCATCAAAAGCTCCGAGAGGAGATTACAGAAATGTTGGTTAAGCTTTAGATAACGGTCCACAGAGCATCCCGTGCACTGATTCATCATCATTCATCACATCTTCATTTATTAATGCATTAATGAAGCTTTGCGTTAGTTCTTGCAGACAGCCATCTGATCAACAGCAGCTCATATCGCGGCACTCCGTTTAAACACAACCTCCATCTCCCTGATCTCTGCTATAACCACGCTGCTCACACTCTGCTGCTGCTGCAGGCAAAGCTTTGCCTCCACCATCCCAGCCGCCTCCTTTCTGCCTCAAGCCTTTGGGTCCCCCTTGTGGTGGGGTTTAGCACTGCGCTCCCTGGAAACCTGTGGCGTGCTGCTCAGCTAACCCAGGGAGCATCCTCTGAGCAGAGCCTCAAACACCGAGCTCACCTGTGCATCCACTTTGTATAAAATGGTGAGAGTGTTCCTGGTTGAAGTAAGGTGTTTCAGTCTCCATGAGTCAGAAGTTATTATGGGATGTTCATTATTTCTTTAAAAAAAAAAGGAACGATCTGCTGAATTCCAAGAGTTAGAGTTTTTATGACTTCAGCATCACTTCTTCATGTTTGTGGACCCTCGAATACAGCGGAGCAATGATCTGTCTTTAACACTTTGAAATAACATCCAGTCATAGGTGGTGTTTCAAAGTGTTGGAGTCATGATGACCTCAGCATTACTTCTTAAACATCATGAAACACCTTTGGGGGGTGGGCTGGAAAGCCCATAGAGGTGGGATGTGGAGGCTCTGCAGGCTGACTGGCTTTTGCACTGCTCGGCATCACAGGAGCTGCCAAAAGGAGAGCAATCAAGACCACCATTGAGGCTGCAGAGAGGGCCTCTAGGTGGCTTTGGATCAAGAGGTCTGACACGTGGGCCACCGGATGAACTCAGGATTCATCCCTGATGATGTGTCCCAGCATATGAAGATACTAAAGTGCATTACTGATAATTTATCAGCATTACTGATAATTCATGAACCACTGCTTTGATTCATGATGAATTTGTCCATGAAACTCATGATAATCTGTGGACCCTTATCTAAAGTGTTTTCATTTAGCATAGCTTCATTTTCCTGAAGGAAACCAAACCACTTTGTCCCAGGCACCGGTCCATAATCAGAGAAAGACTTACAGGGAGCAGTCAGGACTTTTCTTACCTTCCAACTTGCAGACTTTGAGAAGATTTAAGATCTCCGGGAGACAGTCAGACAGCTTCATGTCCTCCAAATGAAGAATCTTCAAGTGGTGGTTGGACTCTGAAAAAGTGACCACATGTAAATAGTGACAGCACTGCAGTGGGGGTGTGGTTTTGAGCAGGACAGTTGGGTTGGTTGTAAGTGAATAATGAAATCCAGTGTCCTGTATGCTTTGGGTCAAAGTGGACACTCTTTGTTTACACCTTCTTAGAGTGAGACACGTTACCTGACAGAGTGGTCAGGAGTCGCTTCTGAGAGGAGCCCGTTGGTAATCTCATCCCGGCTACGTGAAGTGTGGTGAGATTTGGACAGCGCCTCAGCACCGACGTGAAAAGCTGCATATCTGTTTGGACCTCAGTGACTTTGACTGTGAGTTTCTCCAGAGGCAGCTCTGTTCAAAGAAGGAGAAGAGTCAAGGTCAAAAATGATGAAAATGAACATTTACAGGGCCAATCAGTGAAACGATAAAGGTATCTTACTATATGATCATTAAAGAAACATGCTATGTTGAAGTGCTGGCTTCTCTGACAACAATGCAGCAGTCAGTATGTCCTCCTTCTAACTTTAGATTCTGGTCCTGAATGCTCTGGATTTGTTTGGACCAGAGAAGGTAGGCGCTTTTAAGACACCCCCCCACACGGCTGTTTTGGACGGCCCTCGGTTTGTCAGATATGAGAGCAGTTATCAGGTCAAACCAAGAGAAGTGGTTCAGATAGAAGTGATTGTACCCGACCTAAAAAGCCTCTGCATGTTTCTAATAAGCTCCACGAGCAGAAACGTGCTCAAACTAGGATCAATATTGGAGATGCTTTTGAAAAATGGAGAGAGGTTAGAACACAGAAAGGTTTACAGACCCATGCAGAGCTGGATAAACACTGAAGCTTCAGAGTCCACCACATGGTGACCTGTGTGAGCATCTACTCTAGAGAGGAGGAGGGGGGGAGAGACAGCTCTCTGTAATGTTTAGAATTTAGACTGCAGTACCCATTTTAAACACCAGGGGTCAGAGTTACATACTGCTCCTTTAACAAAGTTCAAGAAGAGTCTTGCTGTTATTTGATGCTCATTCTTTGTACAGTCAGATGTATGAAGGGTTCTACTACTATAAAAAAAAGCTCTTCTTTTACTTTCAGACCAAACTCTTGCACACATAAAAGATTCTCTTCTAATCACTATAAGACTAAATTGGTTAACGATTATTATCTAAATGAACGTTGTGTTTCAAATGTTGCATCACATTACTGCTCACTTCACGTTCAGTTTTTTTACCTTCGGTGTCTGACTCTGCAAGCCGGGAATAAGGGACCACGGTATGGATCTCCACATGCAGCGACTTCACTTCGGAGCTGGCATTCAGCAGGGTCTCCATGAGTTTGGCGTAGGGCAGGGCACTGATGCTCAGGTCAGTCAGGCAGCTGCGGGAGCTCTCAGACAGTCGCCTCAGTGCTCTAGCCAGGGACAATATATCTGAGTCTGTGAAGGTCCCTGCACAAAACACAAAGTAGAATAGTTTCACAACGCTTCTCTGGAGTTCATGGTCCTCGACCTTTGTCACATCTGTCACAAGTCACCAAGGATGCAAACACTTAAACTTACAGGAGCTGTGCAGGATCAGAGAACGAAGGCAGAAAAAGGTGGGCAGGGCGTCGGTCAGCACTCTAAAGGAGTCTGACCTACAGTTATTTAACTCCAGATGTTTAATCTGGCCCCTTGGACAAGTCCCTGCTGAGGGGCCATCACATGGAGCGAAGACTCGACAGAGAATCTGTGGATCTACGACCACGTTAGCTACTCCAGATTTCTCCTCCTCCGATGACACAAAGCTGATCTTTGGACGTTTGCATGGCGTTGCTTCATCATCCCGATCAGCTGAGGCACTGCTAACAAGACCAGAGCTACAACTGGGCCCGCCTTCTCTGACTGAAGTGTCTTGTGGAATACCGCTCTCCTTTCTGGCGTGCATTAGGTTCATGAGCTCGGGGGATACATGCTGAGTTCCCCTTCCATAGAGGATCCAGGCCAGCAGCACGGGACAGTCACTGTGTACAAGAACTGTGTCGGCCACCCCGTGGTCGGCCAGGCGGTGAAAGATATACAGCGCGGTCTGATTGCCCTTCTTTGAGAGATCCATGGGGTTTGATACAATTTTCACAGTTTTCATTCGCTTTTCAAAAAGGTTCAGAAGCGGCCGCTGCTCCTCCGTTAACCACTGAAGTTTCTTGTGACTGCCTGGACTCCCGAGAAGCGTGAAACTGGTGAGGCATTTTGCTGCAGCCCACAGGAAGGAGGGGGTGTTCAGATTGGCGAGGTTCCTTTTGACAAACGGGTTAGTGAAGCCATAGAAGACGAATGTAAACAGCCACTTCATGACCTCGTGTTTGGCCTCCTCTTCAGTGTGGAGACCCACAGCCTGAAATGGAATGTGGAGACATGATCATGTGTGGGCTGCAGAGGTTTGAAATTTTATAGAGCTCTTTGGTGACACCTACCTGTTCAGGTCTGCACATATCCAGCAGGATCCCGATCCATCCAGAGTACGTTGATATCCCTGGAAGAAGACAAATGAACATCTTCACCACCTCTGTCACAAAGACCAGATACAAACCGCTACATGACGATGATACCGTACCTCTCTGATTCAGAGCAGGCTGGAGTTCATCCAGCTGGCATATGGTCAGGTGAGGAAGAAGATCCCTTATGAGAGGCGTTGGAAGACCTGAGTTAGGACAGATAGTTAGGACTCTCTGACAAGGGGCAGCGCTGTGTAGAAGGTTTGTAAGTGCTGGAAATCAGTCTTGGTCTGAACACAGGTCTCAAGACCACTTTTTGAAGATCACGGCTCGTGTTGGAATTGAAATCTTTTTGTGTGTGTATGTGGAGCTCCCTATGTGGCCATGCTCTCGCAATGCCGAAATGCAGAATATTACTCTGGTGCAGAATCACTGTGAATGTTCAAAGACGTGATGACAGCTCAGCGTAGTTATGGCACTTTTGTCTGAAAGGGGCTAATGTTTATATACTCGTCTGGCAGGCTTTATAGTTAAAGTTTGTCTGCATGCTAAAGCTAATAACTTACTATTAAAAGTAAACGATAGTAACAAAATAACTAAGTATAGCCTTTTGGCTGCCCAGAAACGTCAAACAAAGGGCACAACTTTTCATGAGCTCATGACTCCTAAATACGGTAAATACGATATTCCCGAGAAGGCCATGAAGGCAGCTAAAGTCCAAGAGATTCATGTGCTGCTCGGGTTGACTAAATGTCCGAGTTGGGACCAGGTTGGGACGTCGCTCTTCTTACTTCATTGTGTTCACGTGATTTCAGTTCAGAAGGTCGGAATGATGTAACAAGTTATATTTTTAGAAAAAAATTGATTTGTAATACGTGAATTAATAAAAAATGTTGACATGAACAAAACATATTTTGCCCCCATGTGAAGACGATTATGACGTCAAGTCGGGAAGTTGGGCACCTCATTCTTTTCCGAGTTTCGGAGGAACAGGAGTTCATATGCATTTCATTTCCGATGTTTCCGACACCTCATGAATGCACCATATATATTCCCTCATGGAATGCCTCTCGTCCAATCAGACCGGTTGTTCTGAACTAACTGATGATAATCGATACGAGCGCTAAAACGACAACTAACCGTTAACCAACGAGACCTGACGGTTGTCGTTAGTTTACGTTAACTGCTAACATTTGGCTCATACACAGACTGTAAATATTACAGGTTCATACAGTGTCATGTTAGCTTCTTCTATTTAAATTCAACCTTACTCTCTGTTCTTAGACATCTTTGTACTCTGAAAGTATTATATATTTATTTCTCGTTTATTGCACATAGTTATGGTTACATCTGTTAGTCTGATCACTGTCCACTTATATCTACTCCTTTTTATATTTTGTATTTTAAGTTAAGTTTAAGCTTTAAGTTGTATTTAAATTGACACTTTATATTTAGGTTAAAATGTTTCGTTTACTTGCACTGTTGTTAATTTACTGCTCTGTGTGCCTTTGAATTGCCCCCCGGGGACAAATAAAGTTTTTTGAATTGAATTGAATTGAAAGGTAAAGTAACGTTACGGTGATTTAACGTTAATATTCTCCACTTACCAAGAACACCTTCCAGTCCTATAGCATCGAAATGTGTCCTCACAGCTCGGAAACAAACCTGCTTTAGGTTTCTCTGCTTTGCTTTGCCGCCAGTCATTGTTTAGTTCTCATGAGTTTAGTTTTCTACAGTCAAAGAGAGGTCAATAAAACAATAAAACAGTAAAACAGAGCCCGACCAACAGACTGTACTGATAGTAAACAGTCCACCGGCTTCTTCTTCTTCTTTGGTGTTTTAGCGGTAGATTTCATCCAAGAGGTCGCATTACTGCCCCCTGCTGGATTAAACCACTCATCACATTTCTAAATCCTCCTCAACAGACCAGGGACCAGATTCACGAAGCCTCATAAATACTAAGAGATTTCTCATAGTGTCAAAATTCAAAGACAATTCTTCTGCCTCTCCCTCTTTCACCACGGTCCAAATACTTTTTAAATGTCTCCTTACGAGTCCCTCTCTCTCTCTGTCTCTCCATTTCTGACAAAAACTTTCTACAATTAGTAAGTCAACTGTTCCTGCAAAGAGACCAGATGTGTGTGTCCCGGTGATATGTAGAGAGTACTGTTTAAATTACTGTGACCTATTCTGCTTTATTAATTCTATTATTTTGCATTTAAAATGAAAACTGTTGGGCTTTATTTTGAAATTTTGAAATAAAGTGAGCAGCTTCTGGTTAATGAAAGGTTGGGACATGAAGTTAAAGGCAGTGTTGGTAATTTCCTCCAGATCCACTTTTTAAGATGTTTGTTGAAATTGTTTTTAGGTCCTGACAGAAATTAATAACTCGTGTTATCTGAAAATCTGTCATCTGTATCAGTAGTAAGTCTGTAAAAACTTTGACCAATGTCTGCCACGAGGTACCAATCTGATGAACCAATCAGACGCCTCCCTGTCTCCCTGCTCGTTCTCTACTCCTTGGGTGCTCTAGACCACATTCAAAGCACGTAACCAATGACGCGCTTTGAATCTAGGTGAGTTTCTACACAATGCAAGAGATGAGCTGAGGTCCGCTTCTGGAGTAACGGGGGGGGGGGGGGGGTTGTAGACATAGCACTGAGGGAATGCTACTTTTAAAATCATGCTAGTCTTAGAAAATGACCAACTCTGCCTTTAAGCACAGAAACAGGAAGTGGTTAGGGATCCCAAACTGAAGTCAAACAGCTCAAAGGAACGGTAACAAAGGTCAATGTGTGATGTCATAAGGTCAATGTGTGATGTCATAAGATCAATGTGTGTTGTCATAAGGTGGATATTACTTTGGACTGGTCAGCTGAGCTGTCTGAGAGTTTGTTAAAGTGAAATGAGACATTCACTGAGACTACAGGGAGACACTGAGGACGATTATCTACCGTGAGCCTGTGTCCACCGAGCGTTTCTTTTCTGAGCGGCAGCGTCTTTTATTAATTGTTTTCAATGAGTAGACAGCGTTTGCATCAGAATCTGCTCTGAGCTTTGGAATTGAAAATCTTTCAACTTTTCAGAAAGGCGCTGTTGATGTCACCGGCGCTCTTTTCTAAATGTTTGATATTCCCTGTAGTTTTGTCTCTAACAGATCATGTCTTGTCCCCTCATCCTCCTCGCTCCGTGTCTGATCAGGAAATAAACGATCTCTTATCTAAAACATGCAGTAAAAAGTAACGGAACAGTGTCACTCATACAGCACCCGATGTCAGCAGACTGTCGTCATGGAGATGGACATGCAGTGCTTTTATTCTCAGATCACAAACACTTCAGAGTTCAGTCAGCGCTTTTCTGCACAGATCAAAAGGCTGGAAAGAGGCGGGGCCTAAAGGGACAAACTAAAATGAGATTATTCCTCGTTAAAACAAATGAATGCATCAATTACTTTAATATTTATCGAGCTCGCTGACTCGTCTGTATTCGTGGTTAATTAGGAATTTCTGATGAATACATGGTCAAAGATTCTTCTTTATTTTTTTCTGTTTTTTAATAAAAGACCAACAAATAAATATCAGTATATACAGTCCACATGGTGCAGCGTTTCCTTCCTGCTATGAAACACACTTTTGGTCCTCGTGAGATCGCTGGTGGAAGACGAAGGACACAGCAGCGTCCCAGGAGGCCTTCAGCACCTGGTCCCTCAGGCCCTTCTTGTCGAAGCAATGGTTCCACTGGGAAAGGTTGCTGGTACAGTCAGAGTCTTCTGCAGGAGGACGAACCTCCCTGCCGTTCACGCAGCGCCGACAGCGAAATCTATCAACACCACAAGAGGGAGGTGGAGAAAATGTTTCAAAACATTACAGGGTGATAAAATGAAGACCTTCATTGGCACATATTAAAACAGCATGTCGAGAACATGCTACTCTAATGCAGAGATCACTTAAATCCTATTATTAAACACCCGTCTGTTCCTGCAGGGGGCGCTGGAGTCCCATCGATGGCGGTCTCCATGCTGGAAATGCTGTCTCAGTCTAACTTTCAGTCAACCTAACGACAGGCTGAGAGCTGGAGCTGAGGCAGGTTTTAAACCTCCTGACAAACCGTTACACCACGCCCACCTGTCAATCAGGTCAGCTACACGCCTCATTGTGAATAACTCTTATCCTTCATCAAATCAAAACTGATGAGTCATCAAAACATTCACCCCCCCGTACAGTGTGTGTCCATCGAGACATGAGCTAATCACACCTATTTGTTGTTTTTAACCAGGCTGTAAACATGTTAATCTCTGCTGTAAAAACAGGCTTTTCAGAATGGGTGTGTATGTGACTTCCTGTGTTCCTGCAGCCAGCCTCTAGTGGACACTCCAGGAACTGCAGGATTTTACACTTCAGCATCAGCTTCATTTTTCAACACAGAAGGTTGCTGCTTACACCAGAGCTGCTCTATACGTAGAATATTAGGCAGATTGAGCAGCAAAAATAACAGAAAGTATTTTCTTCTGGGTAACTGGTAGCCAGAAGTACAAAGTCTGTAGTCCTCGTGGCAACGGAATCTGACCTTGACCCTTTGCTAGAGGTCATCCCCTGACTCTCTCCTCCCAACATGTCCTGACTCTCTTCAAATGTTCTCTCTAAATTAAATTTGTTTTTGAAAAGGAGTATTTTCTTTTACTTGTCATGTGTGTCACTGGTGGTCTCCTCATTGAGAGTGAAGAGTTCTCGGAGTTCTCCAAGAGAGAAGTGTCGCTCCACGTCCTGCTCCTCATCCACCACACAGCTGCTCAGCGCCTTCTTATGGGCCTGCCTCTGCAGGATCTTTTCCTCAATAGTTCCCGTCTGACACACACACACACACACACACACACACACACACACACACACACACACACACACACACACACACACACACACACACACACACACACACACACACACACACACACACACACACACACACACACACACACACACACACACACACCACACACACACACACACACACACACACACACACACACACACACACACACACACACACACACACACACACACACACACACACACACACACACATCAAACACTGCAGCTTTGAAAATGACAAACAGTGATTTATGTTTGTTCTGCATCTAATGAGACGTGTTGCACTGACAGAGAGCAGCCTGTAGATGTAGCAGGTCTTCTTCTGGCCGTCTCTCCACACACGGGCCATCGCCTGCTCGTCATTGGCTGGGTTCCAGTCAGGATCAAACATGACCAGGCGGTTAGCACCAATCAGATTCAGGCCACATCCACCCGCCTTACTGCTCAGCATAAAGATGAACTCTGGGTTCTGAGAAATAGAAGGATGGATTAAGATGCTGTTTTAAGATCCCTGCAGAGTGAAAACAGTTTCAGACTCACAGAAGGACAGTTGAATTTCTCCACAATCTTAGCCCTTTTCTTGATGGACATCGTGCCATCCAGTCGAACATAGAGGTATCTGAGGAAGAACAAGAGGAGAGGGATTGCTCATTACAACAGTGATACACAAATACTCAAAGGGTGGTTTCCAAAAGTGCACTGATCACGATGTCTCCAGTCGATTGAGACTTCAGATTTTTACCAGGTCTCACCTGCAGATACTGAATTTAGCCCATTTTGATTTTCTTAGTTACAGGAGATGTTCTTATTCTCACTCAAACTAATGTCTACTGGAACATTTTGAGCGTCAAACCTTTTATTTCCTTGATTCTTGTTTTATTTCTATGCCATAATCTAAGCATGTGTTTTTGTCTTTGTAAATTAAAATTTACAGATTATTAAACTATTAAAGGTTGAGTCAGTCTGTAAACACAACATTCAAACTGGGCCCCTCCTCCTCCTCCTCATCTCCCCCTGAAGCTCACCCTCCCTGCAGGACGTAGTGTGTATGTTTACTGCTTGTAGCTACACATTGAACAGCTTGTTAGCGCGAGGCTGAGGTCTGTTCAGAATCAGATTTATTTGTGAGGATCAGCTGGTCAACGGCCACGGGCTGAACTGGCTGAATATCTTGATGGTTTCCTGTCTGTAGCAGATCAATCTTCAGTGGTTTCATAAAGCTCACCTTCTAGACCGGCACAGCTTTTCAAAGAGGTCCAGTGTTTGAGTGTAGTTGGAGACGAGCACCACCTTGTCACTACTCGTACTCCTGGTCATCGCCAAGATGTAGTCAAGAACCAGCATCTTCCCTGAAATACAGAAACGTTCATTTAGTTAGTTATAAAGATTTAAAACATTGTTCAGTTCATAACAAAGAGATGCAGAACAACATGCTGAACACGACTCTGAAGTGTGTGATGAGTTGCAAACAGATAATATTCAGTTCAGCAAAATTAACTTCTGGTCCACCTGATGAGTAGAATTCAAATATTCAGTCTCATTTTCACTCAGGGTTTGGTCTCCACCATCTACTATAGATGAGCATTAGGTCCATCAGTTGTACCAACAGCTGCCTGCTGCTGCCGGGAACAATGTTAAAGAGAGTGGAAATGTAAATACTATAAAAGGCACCAACGAGAAAACACCAGAGTTGGTGATAATTCTTTAAAGGCTCGCCTCGATGAAGGACAGGAGGAAGAGATGCAAAGTTAACAACCCTGCACTATTGAACAAAAAGTTCAATCTGTGAACAACATAAGAAACCAGCCTGACGTGCTGCAGCTGAGCCGTTTATTTGCTACTGAGCCTGAAACGTGGTTTTAGCTGTGAAGGACGAGTGATTTATCAGGACTGAAATATGCTGTATGAGGAGAATGAATCTGCTAAAATGGAAATCAAGATTTTTTTCCCTGAGAGTTGAGATCCCTATTCCCATCCATAATTATTTTTTATTCAACAAAAAACTTGATTGCACTCAAATAAAAACACACCTAGAGCTGTGATGTCGGAATCATGGCCTAGGCTACGGCCTGATTAAATTAGATGCATGTTTTGGTTTACACTATGTTGTGAGTGTGACTGTAACATGTAT